TGGAGACCACTTCTGGCAAAAATGTATTTAGCCCTGGAAAGGCAACTGACTACAAAAATGGCATCTAGGCTAGCTCTTCTCCACCAATGTCCTGAGAAGGCCAGGTATGTAAAGTATACCTCAAGTTGTATGCACTTGCATGGCTTGCTCAGACTTTTGCAGATGCTGCAGCAAAGTCTGTCCATCACTTAGAACAATCCCTGGAACATAGTAGTAGGTGAGTAAGTATTTACCAAATAAGCTTAAAAGTATGTAAAATCAGTTTGGACCTCAAGGAAGTTTCCCAGTAAAATCCCACTGAACTGTGTTCCTTCCCCTGAACACACTCCAGTAGGACGTGCTGGCCTGATGGAATGGAGACATGGAGCACATCCTTAATGTCTAACTCTAATCATATCTCAAGAGCCTTTAAGCTCAAACTTAATCCAGAAACCTGTCCCAAGATATGAGGACTATGGGGCCAAGCTACTAGGTATACCAGTGACTTCATATCTTTAAGTAAACTTTGTAGTTTACTTAAAACTACATGTAGTAGTTTTAAGTAGTGCCACAATGGGCACCTGTTGGAAGACAAAGATCTGCTGGTGCTTTGTAGCGTTTCCTCCAAGGTTAAAATCTTCCATCTCCAAGGAAACTTCTTAAGAAATAGGATGTAAAACAGCAGTTCTCAACTGTTTAACCCCTTGTGGTCAAACAAACCTTTCATAGGGGTCACGTATCTTGCATACCAGATATAGGCATTATGATTCATAACACTAGCAAATTTACAGTTATGAAGCAGCAATGGAAATAATTTTATGGTTGGGGTCAGCACAATATGAAGAACTGTGTTAAAAGATCGCAGCATCAGGAAGTTTGAGAACCACTGATTTAAAGGGAAATGAAACAACAGGCTATTTTAGGGTGAGATGTTTACAAGGAGGTGAAACAAGATGTTCTAGGGGGAGGTGAAACACTCCACTTTGCAGGGAAGCTCCTTTAATACAGGAAGTAAACAAATCAAGATAACTCCAGGAAGATCCTGAAATAGAACAGATTCATTAGGCTCCTCCTTCCTCAGGAGTATATAAGTAATAAAGATCTTTGAGAGTCACCCTCAGGCAAGCTGAAAGTCTGAGACCATCTGAGTTCCTGGGAAAGGACACTCCCATCTTTGGAGCTGCCTGAACATTGTGAAGTGGGCTCCAGGTCTCCAGCTTTCATCAACTGTCACTCACTGTGGGGTGGGCTTTTGTTATGCAGCTGCTTTGAGTCATGTGTGCTCCTGTAAGTAATTCCTCACCCATGTTCCTGTAGGTAACCCAAGTAAAACTCATTGGCTTACCAAGGTGGACTTTGGTGGTATCCACGTTTTGGTCTGTTGTTAGTTTCTTATCTGGAGTAAATAGACATTTGTTCTTGTCTGCTTAGACCATGTTGCACAACAGATGGGGACATATTGTTCCCATGGAGCATGTAGCCAAGAATCTGACTTGGGACTGGAGAGATAGCTCAGAGGTTAAGAGCACACAGTGCTCTTCTGGAAGACCTGAGCTCAGTTTCCAGCACATGTGTTGTGTGGCTCATAACTACCTTTTACTGTATGTAGTTAGGGGATATAGTTTCTTCTGGTCTCCATGGGCATCTGCACTTGTGTGTATATACTTTGTGCATATCCTCTCACAGAAGACAGACAGACAGACAGACAGACACACACACACACACACACACACACACACACACACATTAAATCTTAAAAAAGAAGAACATGAATTGTGTTTTAGCATGCTGCTCTTCTGTTTCTTGTGGGTTTTGGTAAGACAACCTCATAGAAATGAGCACATCAGTGACCTAACTTATTGATATGTGTCTGCTGAAGTTCACATCTAAAAAATGCTATTCCTTTTCTAGTATAATATTTTATTAACTTTGAATAGTTTACACATGCATATGATATTATTTTGATTATATTCAACCCACTTGATGATCCAATTTTTTTATATAAGTCACATTTCAATTTATGAAGTCTAAATACTAATGGTTGTCTAGCTATCCATTGGAGTGTGATTGATCTACCAGGGGCCACACCCTTAAAGAAACTGACTCGCCTTTAGAAGCCATCAAGGGGTCAATTATCTTCTCTGTTAGAGGTGGGGACTTGAGAGTTCTTCTCCATTCCATACTGGAATATTTACTGGCTTGATCTTCTGCAGCTTTTGCTTAGGCAACCATGGCTCCTGGGAAATATGTGATTGTAGGTATCCTGTCATGTCCAGAAAACACTAAGTCCACTTCTCCCCAACCTATCGCCCTTACAGCCCTTCTGCTCCCTTCTTCTTTGATGATCCCCGAGTCTTGGGAAGAAGAGGTTTGAAGTAGATGTCCCATTTGTGTGTGAACACTCCACTGACACTCTCTGACTTGGACAAGTTGTGAGTTTTTGTGTTAACTGCCATCCACAGCACAAAGAAACTTCTTTGATGAGAGCTAAGAGCTAAGAACTTAGACGGCAGTTTGATACTATGACCATTTAGCATAATAATAGTATAGGTTTACCTCTGGGGCCTGTGAGCTCCCTTTCATGAGTTCTTAGACTGATTAATAGTGTTAGGCATGTGTTTCCTCCTTTGTAGCAGGCTGTAAACCCAATCAGAAAGTGGTTGGTTACATCCCATTCATGTTACGATTACACTCCTGGACATATTTTGCCACACTGGTCACTATTGCAGATCATAGAGTTCACAGCTGGACAAAACTGTTGAAGACACCGTCTTCTGGCATTATGAAAGCTAGATAGAGCTGAGGAATCTTCCTGGTCAATACCAACTTTATTTCTCTGTGCTCTGTGGCCCAAGTATGTGGTGTCTTGAGCCACATAGTCTTACTGTTAAGGTCTGGTGGACAACCAAGAGCAATGCCAATAGCTATGTTGTTTGGGAGCCCTTCAGAACACCCCTGACAATAATTTGAGAGTAGGTATCTCCCCCAGCACTGTTGGTTTCTTTTTTGGAGGGTGGACCTCTGGCTTTACAAAATGGGTTTGCATGTGGCCTTTCTTTCAAACAATCTTAGTATTAATTATCCCTTTCCCTAACGACCCTCTGCCCTGACCTCTTATGCCTTTCCCAACTTAAACCTCTATCCCATTATTCCCTGTTTTCCCTTCATATCACCCATGTTCTACTATCCCTACAGGATAGGATATAGAGTCAAGACTGAGACCCATCTTTGAATGTCTTTGTGTGCTTTGGCATAGATGGCCCTCTCTATTGGTTTACAGGCACCAAGAACGCCACTCCTGCTAAGGCAGCTTCTCTGAGCTCTTCTACAGAGACTGAGATGAGAGGCTCCAAAGGGGAAGATGCTGCAGCCAAATACTTATTTCTGAGAAAAATAATCTTCAGGTCTGAAAACATGAACTAGCAGGGCAGAGATTCACATCACTTATTGTGATGCACTAAGCTGGTCTAAGATTAAACTGTTTCTTTGTTCTGCTGTCAGTAACCTTTGTGTGGGTGAATTGTTTGTTTGAGTCCCTCCAGAAAAGTCACACAACAGCTACATGGTTAATGTGCTAGGTGAATGTGCATGGCTACACAGTATCTCTGCTCCATCTTTCTAGAGTATGAGAAAACAAAACTTTCATCAATGCCATGGATCTAAAAGCAGCCTGAAATGGCATTGAAAAGCAATCCTATTACTAATTGGGACAAGTCTTCCCCACAATTTTATAAAATGAAACACAAGGATCATAGATTAAAGAGTGAACAAGTCTCAGAACAGAAACTCCCGTCAGTGTTGAGGAGAAAATCCACTGGTCATCCTGGGACTGGTAGTAGATCACTTCTTTTCTAATTTAAACATTTCAAAAGAAAAATTAGAAGTATACTGTGGGAAGAGAAGTGGATTAAGAGTCAAGAGACTTGGGTTTTCATCCCAGCTCTAAGTGGCTAATTAGCTGTGTGACCTTGCCAAATGACTGAACATCTCTGGACTTCCGGTGTCTTCATTGAAGAAAAAAAAAAAAAAGTAGAGCAGCCAGAAATCTCTAAAGGCAATCTCAGTGTGGGGCTGAGAACCAGGGAGCTCTTTGAGAGAGCCCCTGTAGGGTCCAGGCATTTATGTTTATCACAAGCACCTATGGAGGGTCTATTTGCGTGTCACTGTTCTTGTTAGCACATATGCCTCCAGAAGGAAGAGTTGCTGCCTTCAGGCCTCCCTAGTCTCTTTATTGGTTCCTGTTATTCTCTTGGGATCTGGATTCCTGACTAGAGGCTCAGGTCTGCAGCAAGGGACCATAACCTATAATGGGAAATTACCAATACGGAGTCAGGTAGAAATATAAGGGTATTTAATAGAGAAAAACCTTACTTACAGAGCGACCTAGCCAGCCGGTGTGGCAGCAGTCTGTCCAGCAAGTACCAAAGCGAAACTGAAAGACAAAACACAGCTTCCCCTACAATAACCTTCCTGAAGGGCGTGGCTGGAGATGAGATTATCATATATCTGGATCTCCAAAGACTATGCATGCTCTTCTCTGGTGGACATGGGATCTCCTACTTTCTCGAGGATAGACATGTTGTCCCGTCCCTCTGGTGTTACTACAGAATCTCCAGGATGATGGGGGAGGTCCTTCTGTGTATAGGTTTGTCTTATTGGTTAATAAATAAAGCACTGTTGACCAATAGGGAAGCAAGTTAGGTGGGACTAGGAGAGAAGGAGGATTCTGGGAAATGTAGGAAAAAGAGGATCGCCATGTGATCCTGGGGAAGACAGGACACATGCCACGGGCGTCCTTGATAAGATAAGTCTTTATAAAATATATATATATTATCCAGGAACTAGCTCTTGTAGACCAAGCTGGTCTCGAACTCACTTGCCTCTACCTCCTGGGTGCTGGGATTAAAGGCATGTGCCACCAACGTCTCCAAAGCCACAGAGAAAACCTGTCTTGAAAAACCATATATATTAATGGTTATGGTTGATACATAAGACAGAGCTAGCAAATAAGAAATCTTAGTCTTTGGCCAGCAGCATTGTAACTAATATTAATCTCTGTGTGTTAATTTGGGGGCCCTAACATGATGGTGGATCGCAGGCGGCAGGCGGAAAGAGTCATTGTTACATCAGTACAATTCTAAATAAGCATAGATGGCTCACTATGCCTATTTCAGATGTGATCATTGAGTGACTCTGGCTGTGAAGGCATAGCAAGCACGATATCACAGAGTTGGAATTAAGAGAAGTGGCAGGGGACAGAAAGAGGAGGCAAGTTCACCTGGACTGAAAATGACAGGAGGTCCTCAAAGCCAGACCTTGACTAAAGGCTGTGTTGGAGCAATGGAGATGGTAGAAAAGGTTTTTGTCTTGGGGCTTGGGGTCTATTACACCATCTTCGCCATGGGGGGCACAATCAGTGTCCCACACATCAATCATTTTCCTTCAGTGTACACAATGGAAATGGCAGGACCCAAGAAGCCACAGAACTCCCCCACAGGTCCATGGCAACTATTTCTCATATTCCATACTTGCCGAGGTTTTGGGGCCCGGGCTTTCATTCCATTTTGGATTTGGATCAAGTCACTAAATATTTTGGTTTCTCTTCTCTGTAAAAGATTGTGGTGGGGGCATGAGTAGAGAGAGGAATAGAAACAGCAGACTTCTCTCCTCGGGGTTGAAGGGGAATGGGCTGGAATAATACAAGTAAAAATACCATGAAATGAAACCCTCTATTCAAACACAGGAGGTTATTTACAGCCTTCAACTGATACTTGCCCTGCTCTGGTTGCCCACCTCGAGCACATTCCACAGAAACCATGGGGACCCAAAGAACCACAAAACGTGATGAGTGAATTCAGAAACTCAGCGTATAACCAGAGCTGTTTTTGCTGGTGGTCTCCTGAGGCAGTCTTCTTGTCTCGGATGAAGGTTTATAGATGAGCTGTGAGGGGGACGTCTGTGAGGGCTTGTGACAGGCTGTGCCTTACCTTAGCTGTGCTGATGAATGAGTCCTTGTCATTTAGGAGGATTTAGCGGCCACTGGCTTAAACTGAAATGCAATCTGACACTGTCCAGGAGAGAAATGTTCAACTCCATTTGGTGGTGGAAGAGAGCAGGACAGACAGGAGAAGGATGATCACCCAAGGCCATGAACTTGTCCTGAGGCATCAGCAACACTCCTATGGATGTATCCTGTGGGAAATGATGAGCAGAGAAGTTCAACATGGAGGCACAGTAGTCAGGCAGCTCTGAGTTCAAATCTTGCCTCTACCGAGGAGCCAGGGTTAGTTACTTTTTTTCTCAGTACTCCAGTTTCCTCAACTCTGTGTGTGTGTGTGTGTGTGTGTGTGTGTGTGTGTGTAGTGGGGGGGGGTGAGATAATCTAGTCCCTACCTCCAGAGGTTACTGGGAAGATCAAATGAATCATAGATGGAATCCAGCAGATGTTAGAAGCTGTGATTTTTATGATAAACTTTGGAACTTTGCTAGCAGGTCAACCTCTTTTAGTTGCTTGAATTATTGTCATTTTCAAATTCCGATGTCTCCAAACAGCATGGTGGATGGACTGCAGACATAAAGACTTGTGATCTGGTGAGTATATCACTAAATAGCTTTGTGACCTTTGGCCTTGTTTCTCTGGTTTGAGAAATGAGTGGCACACGGATGCACTCAAGAGCCGTTGCTATCCTTGAAACTTGGTTAGGACTTGAGGTGACAGAAGCTGCACCCACGTGGACAGGGAAAGATGGGAATATCCGGGTCCCCCTCGTATAAAGCTTCAGCGATGGGGCGGTGCCGCTGTGAAATGAGAGTCGAGTGTGGACAGCTTCCTCTAGGGTGCAGGAGAACAGAAGATCCAGGATATGGTAGGAAATGAGGTACTTGGGGTACAGCAGGGAATGGAGGATCCATGATACTATAGGGGATGAGGGATTTAGGGCACAGAAGGGGATGGAGGATCCAGGGTAGGGTAGGGAAAGGGAGATTCAGGGCAGTAGTTTAAAGGCTTCTTGAAGAATCAGTACCTGGAGGGCTCAGTAGAATGCGAAACAAACATCTGTAAGTTAAGGGCTGAGTCAAGGGCACTCTATGGCTGCTTCTAGAGCTTGAAGAAGTCTTTGAACCCTAGGAATACACACCCTAAGCGGTGGGTGTGGGTGGGTGGGGATGGGGTGGGGGAGACACTAGGCAGAACAAGGGAACACACCCAGCCCTGGGAGGGGCATCCCTGGTACTGCAGGTAGCAGGGTTGGCAGGTGGGTTGACGGCTGCCTGGCCCCACCCTTGTGATGTGCTCTTTGCATACTAGTTGTTCACAACATTCAGGCTAATTTCCTCAGTTAAGAGCTGTTACCAAATGCTCCCCCTGCCACTCCCATAGCTCTCACTGAGGCAGGCTCCAGCCTCTAACTTCTGAAGCCAGCCCATGCTCTTTCATCCTTACTGAGAATTGTTATCACTCTCAGGCCACACCCCCATCCCAACTCTCAGACTCCTACCTTCCTCTTAACTCTCAGAGCCCCCTCCTCCACCCACAGATTTTTATCTTGCTCTCCCCTTCTCCCTTGGTTTCTCCCCCTTTCGTATCTACCAAATACATCTTGGTTTGAAAGCCTCCTTTAGGTTGGAATCCAGGCATGAAGAGGCAGTGCGACCTTCCCTTCTCACCACCCCATCAAGTCTGCTGGTCTAGAGAGGCTCCACACTCTTCCTTCCTTCTGTTTAAAAACAAAAACAAAAAACCCACCTCCAGTTTCAATTTGAGAGAGAGAGAAGGAGAAAGAGAAGGAAGGAAGGGAAAGAGAAAAAGAGAGAGAGAGAGAGAGAGAGAGAGAGAGAGAAAGCGCGAGAGAGCAGGGAAGAATTTGACATTATTGTATAATTTAAAATTGCACAGCCTAGAGCCCACAGAACTGAGCATGTAATTACACACTTACTAGAGGTAACAGCAGTGCTGATAATTACTCTTTACACAGGAGAGACCCTGCTGATATCCCACAGTCAGAGAGTGGGAGCTACAATATCCTTAATACCTTCCGCAGAGACCCTCATAAGTAGAAGAGAAGCACGAAGAGGCTCGCAGGGTCCACAGCAATATCTTCATCGCACTGCGATGTCAGGGGCTTTAGCACAACAGAAATCAATAGTTTCTAGTACTTTTTTTTTGGTACATTTTTTTTTTATAACCTAACCTGAGAAAGTACAGGGATGGCAGGGATGTGGTACAGTCGGAAACAAAACCTCCTTAACCGAGGGTCTGTCTGTTTAGAGATGTCACGCAGTGTCAGTTTATGAGAAACACAGCCTTCATCAAAACAACAAACATGCAGCTGAAATAGGTCCTGGTCCCAGGATGCTCCAGCTGGCCCTTCTGTGTCCTCTGATTAGGGGAAGTAGCCCCATGCATTTGGGTTATGAAGTTATGCGGTATTCAATCTTTAAAGAAAAGAGATGGCTCTATAGGTCCTCATTTCTAGGCAATTGGCTCTTTTCTTCTCCTTTCTCCCTGTGGACAAGGTGTGAATTGCTTGTATTTGATACAAATTAAGAGATGAGCAAGCAAGAGTTGAAACACAGCCAGTTCAAAGTAATGGTCAGTAAACTGGACGCAGTGTTGAGATGAAGGGCTTTCAGGTGAAGAGACCAGAAGACAACATCGACATTTAGTAGTTCTCAACTGAGGACCATTTTCATGTTTGCCGACTTCTCCTAACCAGCTAGACTGCAGCAAATGATCACCTGTTTCTACTCTGTAACCACAGCCAAATTTCTATGTATTTTACTCTTAAAAAATGTGTCTTGGGATTTGGGGAGATGGCTTGGTGAGTCAAGAGTTTTCTGAGCATGCTCTTCATTTCAGGGTTGGGGATGGGCAGTTCCCTGGGCCTTGATGGCTGGTCAGCCTAGCCTACTCAGAGAGTTACAGGCCAATGAAAAGAGAAAGGGAGAGAAAAAAAGAAAAACAAAAATGGCACCCAGGGTTGTCCTTGGGCCTCCACATGCATGCTTCACGTGTGAACCTGCACATACATGAACATGTGTGCATGGGCACATACAGAGTGCTTCCTGGTTGTTGCACTCTGTGTTGACATTCTGACTTGTCAATCTTCCAGCCATGCCCCACCTACTAAAGTTTCTACAGCCTCCCAAAACAGCACTACCAGAGGAACCAAGTATTAAAACAAGATATGTGGGGTGGTAATAGAGCCTGCTCCGGTGCTAGCCCAACATCTCTGCTCCCCAACTGGCATCATGTAATAAGCGGACAGACATTCCATACTTCCATCACTATGGAGCCAGCTTCTTCTCACCACTGTGGACTGTAGCTCTCATCCTGTGAGCCAGAACCAGTCCTCCCTTTAGTGGTTTCTGTCAGGTATTTTATCATGGCAGTGAGGACAGTAAAAGAGTCCATGTTTGCACACCAGTCATCTCAGACCCATTCCCACTCTTGAGTTGTAGTGTCTCCTTGTGGATCAGTTGCTTTCTTTGTTGCTGTAGCCTGTTTCCTGGCTTGAAGCAACATAAAGTAGGAAGGCTGTTTGTGCTTGCATTTCAGGGGAGACAGCCTGTCATGGAAGGGAAGGCATGATGGCAGGAGGGTGTTTGTTCACATCTGAGAAGATAAAGAGAAGGGAAGGCTGGCTTTCCCCCTTATATCACCCAGTACCTCAGCCTGGTGTTGCCTGCATCCATAGCAGGTCCTTCCCTCATCCCCATCAGTTAATCCTTCTCTTGAAACACCCCCATAGCCATGCTTTACTAACATCCTAGTGATTTCTTGATCTGATCAAGAATTAACCATTGACATTCCCATTCTGAAGATGTCAAAAATGAGACTGAGGCCTGTGAGTCTGGTCAAGGTCACACAGCTGAGAATGACAAAGACAGCTGAAGTACATTGTTATATTGTGTAATGACATCTGATGAGACATCTGACATCACAACAAATAAGAAACAGTGTTGAGAGGATCCAGAAATTCTTCAAATCCCTAGGGGAGAGTTAATCAGAGAAAAAGCTTTTGAGGATCCTACTTTAGACTGTTGACTCTCACACACAAATCCTTTTTCCTACCATGTATGCCAATGTGCGTGAAGGTTAGCAGATCCAGGACTCAGGTCTGCAGTCAGACAGATGTGGTTTGAATTCCATCTGGGCTTTTTATCAGCAATGCCATTTGGAGCAGCTATTCTCTCTGAGACTTGGTTTCTTTACTTGTAAACTCCTCCAGGGTTGCTACTGGGGATAATTAATATGACTTGTATCTCTCACACATACATAAATACACATGTACAGAAGCACAAGCCAACCTGTGTGTGCTTGGGAATGAATCAGAATGTCTTTTGGTCCATGTGTCTTTGCTGTCAGTCCGGCAACCCTAGCTCTAGTCTGATGACTCAAGAGGCTGGATGCAAACCAATCATGTGAGCTATCTCATAGCTGTGTTCGTATTGTCATAATGAGATCCTTGTTGTACCCACTGAGTCTGTTCCCAAGAACCACGCTGTGAGAAGGGTGTGTGATAATGTGGCCAGCATCTGAGGGCAGGACTATGTCCACAATTCTCAACTCCAGTGATTGGTGTAAATTGCCCATGGAGCGATTTACCAGTTGTATACCAATTGTATATAAACAAAGTGCACAGGTTTCTCCAGGGAAGACAGACCGGAGAGGCTGCTTGGAAGGGAGCAGGCTGGCAGATCTGCTTTGAGCCCTCAGGCAGCAAGCATGACCTTCGAAGGCCCAACAGCTCAGGAGGCAGTGACTCCGAAGCCCTGGTTGTTAGGATGTTGACTTTTTGTCCTTTGTGTCCCAAAAGGTGGTGACCTCAGGAGCTGGGACAGCAAGAATTAAAGAAAGGAGATGACTTCCTGACGGGGAATCATGCCAGGAATGTCTTCAGATCCCTGGGGGAAGAGTTAATTGGAGAAAAAAACCTTTTAGGATCTGACTTTAGACTGTTGACTCTCACACACAAGTCCTTTTTCCTACCATGTATGCCGATGTGCATGACGTTAGCAGATCCAGGACTCAGGTCTGCAGTCAGATAGTTGCGGGTTGAATTTGTTCTGGGATGTTTATCAGTAATACCATTTGGGCCATGCTGTTGTCTCTGAGACTTGGTTTCTTTACATGTAAAATGGGAATAAAACTCCACCGGGGTCGCTGCTGGGGATAATGAATATGATTTGGGTCATTGCACCTTCCACAGTGTCTGGCATGTAGTAGACTCCATAACAGCAGATTCTTTCCTCTCTCTTGCTCTTCTCTTTCTTTCCGCACTCTGAAAGCATCAGAACTCAGGAGAAAGAATAGGGTCATGAGCAAGCACACACCCTCAACACAGCCCCAGGAGACATGCTGATACCTCCTGAATGGGGCCATTCAATACCACGGGGTCCCCGGTCCTGTGCCTGCTTTATCCCCTGCCTAAACCCCAAATCACATGAATAAATGTGAGAAAGGACTTGCTTACAGAAAAAGACATTTAAAGCAAGCAAACTGCTCATGCCTCTTTGCTAGAAGGCATGAAGTGGGAGCAGAGTTAGTGGCTAAATAATGCTGATGGCATTCCAAAGCCCAAGGGCTATTGGTACCCAAGGCTTCCATCACCCAAGGCCACGGGACTCTCATTGAGCACAGTCTGAAGAAAGAAAAAGGGTTATTAATAACCCAACTTGCCCTCTAATGAAGGGGCTCTCCTTGTACATTCACACCCCCAGAAATCAGGGGCTCTGCTGGGGACATCTTTTTGTATGGCTTATGCTTGCCTACTGCGGTGGGCAGGCTGGGGAGCCCTGAAAAGTACTTGACATTGCTCTGCGTCTGTGTTTTCATCCTCTGTCCACCTTCCACCCCCACATCCCCTAGCCCTCCCTCCTTTGTGCAAATCTGTTTTCACCACAGGAGCACATGCTGCCTCCTCAAGCTACAACGCTACTTGCTAATTCAACGATTCATCTTTAATGAGGCCCCCTGCCAATGTTTAAACAGCATTCAGAACAAAGAGGAGGCAATATTTCCCCAACAGCTGCTACGACTGCATCCTCGTAGCTCATCTCTCTAGAATATCAAGAAAAAAAAAAATCCGTAGAGATTCCATAATGGGAGAAAAAAACACGTGGTGATTGTACACTGAGACGGTAGATAGACATAATACCTATACCTTTGTAGGTGGAGATAGATATTTTATAGACAGAGATAAGATATTAACCTTTGGAATACAGGGAGTTTTAAGAAAAAAAAAAAAAAGTTTATTGGCCCCAGCCAGTGCCACTTTAGGGAGGTTTTATTGGTTCGTTTTTAGAATTGTTTGGGAAGCGTGGGTGGTAGAAGAAAGGGCGTGGCAAAGAGTTAGAGATAGATCTACGACCTAACATCATCACTCCCCACGCCAGCTCTCTGCCCAGGCCACGCCCCCTTCTGGAGAAATATCAGTGCAGTGCTGGACACTTTAGAGGGCTTCAACCATTTCTTTTTCAAATTCAGAATCTTCTTGTACCAAAAATAGTGGGCAGAATCTTTAGGCTCTGGACTGTGTTTGGAGAAAGCAGACATTGAGCACTAGCCAATGAGAATCTTTTACATGACACATTAGGACTTTCATCCAATGAGAAGCCCTCACAGCAGGGTGGTTCTACCAGTGAGAAAGCAAGACTGGTGTGGCATACAGAGCAGGGGCTTCATAAAAGGACACCCGTATGTCCTTTATCAGTTTTGAAAAGAGTCAAACTAACAGAGAATAGAAAACCCACAAAATGCGCGCCACCCCACATAGGGCAATATATTTTAGTAGGCTGATAAACTCTAAGCCACATAGTAGTGGAATCAACGATCAAATAAAAATTACCCAAGTAACACTCCTTTGAAAATGGGGATAAAGGTGTACCTTGGAAAGACTGTAGTGAGAAAAAAAAATGGTTTTAGACCTGAGCTCAGAGACAGCGGTGCAAAGAAATCTCTGAATTATTAAGACAAGATGGTGCATGAGGGAGCAACTATGAGCGGGAAGGAGGGGAGAAGCCCAGCTCTGGCTTGTTTGATAAGATGCCCAGTCTCTCTCTCCACATTGCCTGTTTCAAGCTGATTTTCTCTACCAGCAGTGAGAGCACCCCTAATGCCAGAGTGAACACTGCTTTGCAAGTGGTTTGCTTATCATGGCCCTATTTTTGTCAGAAAGTGATCTGTAAGTGTCTACAAGACAAATCCTGGAAGCATAGACTATAGAGATGATGCTACATTTAGGTAAAGGGGTCAGTTGATTTCAGCATGCCATTTTCTTCTTTTTAAAATGTTTTTTTCAATTAATATCTTTTGAAAGTTATTTTTAGTGAGTTTTTTATTATTTTAAGATTATGGGTGTTTTGCCTTTATGCATATTTGTGTACCACAAGTGTGTCCAGTGCCTGAAAGTTCCAGAAGAGGGTGCTCTGGAACTGGAGATCTTTGTGAGCAGCCATATAGGTGCTGGGACTCATATCCAGGTCCTTTAGAAGAACAGCCAATACTAGTAACTACTGAGCCACCTCTCCAGTGCCTCGAGTTAACTGTTTTTGTTTGCATTCAAATTAATGCATTTCATTGTGGCATTTTTAAACATGCAGGGCTCATGCCCATGGTTTCTGCATCAAATGCAGTCTTATTGCCCTATGAGCAATAAGATAATTCTGCCTTGGTGTTGTTTTGTTTTTAATCTTAAATCACTTTACTTTGGATGTTTTTAATCAGGCAATATGACTTCAACTTTTTTAGAAGTAGAGGTAGAGGCAAGCAGAGCTCTGTGAGTTCAAGACTAGCCTAGTCTGCATAGTGAGTTCCAGACTAAATAGTGAGACCCTATCTTGAAAAAACAAACAAACAAGAGCACCTTTTGTGACAGTGTTTAATCAGCATGCTATACATTATGGCTGAACAGCATTTCATTCATCAGCATTGGCACCTGCCATTCTTCCATAAATGACATCATTTCTTCTGGAATGCTGGCATAGAGTAGCATGCAAACCAGAAATGAGTCAGTGGGAAGGAGAATCTGAAAGAATTAGGCTACAGCATGCTCACCTTCTGGTAGCCACCCCTTGTTAGTCCTGGGATATGGTTCTAGGTGATCTGTCTTTCTGATGGTGACCCAATTAACTACCTATGTCATGCCACTAACTGATCAGAAGAGACAAAGGTGGATCCAGTGTGGAGAATTTGACTAGAGAATCTGAGCTAGAAGTGTCGGGTTGGGAAAATCCTTCTCAAAGGGATTTAATGCTTACTTGATATGTGGAAGTATAGAAAAGATAATTTTTTTGTTGGTCCATTTTCCAGGCAATGAAAAGAAGAAACAGATTCCTGGCAGAGGAGATAATGCACCTGAATCCAGGTGGATGGCACATTTGGGGGACAGCTAAGCACCCATCCCAACAGGGGATGAAGAAGTGGTCTGAGAGTCTGACAGGGTGTAAGGCCTAGAGTTTGAAACCATGCAGAAACTGAGGTACTGCAGAGATGAATGATGGCCAGTAGAGTCTAGGGAAGAGAGCTAGACAGTGCATTAAGCAGGGAAATGAATGATATTTAGTATATAACCAGGTGCCTAACTTTCCTTAAATTGATAAATTTTAATTTTCTTTTTACAAGCCTTAGAAGTAGATATTATAGCTGACTGAAGAAAGACCTGTCAAGCTGCTATGGGAATAACACACACTGGAGAGAACTGGGGCCTCAGGCCAGAGCAGGAGCAGAAGATAGAGGTGAAATGATGAGGGAGATGGGTAAGGTTGAGACTGGAGGCAGTAACAGGGTCTATCGATGGGGGGGGGGGGAGTGAGTCCAGGGTGTGTGTGAGGAAAGCATCCATAGTAGAGCCAATTAAGCAGAGATGTTGTCTACAAACAGCCAATGGGACCTGAGCAGAAATAATGCTCGTGGAATCAGTACTGTCAGGAGGGAGATACTTCCCAAGTGTCTCAGAAAAGTGAGACTGGTAAAACTGTAATGAATAAGACATGTGACTTTTCCAATATACTTTTTCATTAATGGTAGGAGCTAAATTAACAGCATCATAGATAGTGAAAGGAAGATAAGAATGGGGGCTGGGCCTGAGTGTGGTCTTGTTTGTAGGAAGTTTTACAGTGAACAGTGGGTGGTGGAAGAGGGAATGGAGGACCTTAAGGTTGGAGAAAGGCCCTTTGAAGGCTATGAGACTTGAGTGTGCTAAGAACTCGAAAGTAGGAGCAAAGAGAAGGAGAGACTCCAAGCACTAAAGAGAGGAGAGTAGAAGTCCTTCCCAGCCATGCATGGTAGCTTATACCTGCAACCCCAACACTTGGGAGGCAGAGGCAGGAGGACCACTGCAAGTTAGAGGCCAGCTTGGTCTGCATAGCAAGATGCTATCACATACTGTGAAATAAAAATCACTTGCACTTGTTAAAAAAAAAAACACCCCAACACTACAGTTAATTGTACTCTTATATGTCCAGTGCCCTAAACAGAACAATACTATGACCCTGAAGTTGGTTTGCTTGGGTCTCAGATTTATCAAACAATTTTATGGAGCTTGGGAGAACAGGGTGCCTAATCTAGCTTGGTTTTTAAGTTCTCTTTCTGTTTTATTCCTTGCCTTGCACAGGAGCGATAAGATGTTGAAAGAGTAGCTTTTGAAAACGGAGCAGTGCACTCACCAACATGTAAACTGTCCACTGGAAAGCACTGTGAGGTCTGCATGGGTGGTGCTCTTTTTACTCTGTCACTTAGAAAGGTGAGGTGGCTTCTATAATGTCCGAAACCCTCATACTCTCTCACGCCATCTCCTAAGCCAGGGCTCTTTTTTTCTAAGCCCCTTAGCTGGCAGTGCTCTGTCCCCCTAACTAAGTGAGCAGAAAGAAAACCTGGAGGGTCTGTGCTTCTTTTAGGACTCCATTTCCCCCATCACCAGAACACAGGGGACCCATGACTTGCTTTGGACAGTGTGGTGTGAGCTGCTATACATTCTCCATGATCTATTCTAAACTTGGGCAATCATAGAAGCCATCAAATGGAAGCTGTTGGAATGTTTTGTCAATACCACAAGGCTAGCTGCCTTTCAAATCCCCTGAACCTGGGATAGATTGCGGATAGGTGAGAAATAAACTTCACTACTTGATATCA